ACTAAAATGCTCCATTCCTTTGATCAATTTTGTAGCTTGTCTCTGGACCCTCTCCAGAGCCATGATATCCTTATTTAGAACAGGCGCCCAAAATTGCAAAGCATATTCAAGGTGTGGTCTTACCAGCGATTTATAAAGAGGCAAAATTATATTTTCATCCCGAGAATTTATGCCCCTATTTATACATGACAAAATCTTACTGGCCTTAGCAACTGCAGATTGACATTGCATATTGCTGCCTAATTTGTTGTCTATAACAATTCCCAAATCCTTCTCGTGTGTGGTTATCTCTAATTCACTACCATTTAGTGTGTAAGTTGCTTGTGCATTCTTAACCCCGAAGTGCATAACTTTGCATTTCTCTATATTAAATTTCATCTGCCATTTTAGTGCCCAGTCCCCCAATCTATCCAAATCTCTCTGCAGCAAAGCAATATCCTGCTCACATTATATTACTTTACAAAGTTTTGTGTCATCTGCAAACACTGATACATGGCTTTCAATGCCTATTTCAAGATCATTTATAAATATGTTAAATAGAAGTGGTCCCAAAACAGAACCCTGAGGGACACCACTTACCACTTTTGTCCAGCCTGAAAATTTACCATTAATTACAACTCGTTGTACTCTGTCCTTAAGCCAATGTTCTACCCAAGAACAGGAATATTCATCTAGACCAATTTCTTTTAGTTTGAAGACTAACCTATTGTGAGGAACCGTATCAAATGCCTTGGCAAAGTCCAAGTAGATCACATCCACTGCAACACCCTGATCTATACTTCTACTTACTTCTTCGTAGAATGCAATTAGGTTAGTTTGACATGACCTATGTTTCATAAAACCATGCTGATTATTGCTAATAACAAAGTTCTTCCCAATGAATTCCTGAATATTATCCCTTAATAGCCCTTCAAATATTTTCCCAGTTACTGAAGTTAAGCTCACAGGTCTATAATTTCCAGGCAAGGATTTTGAACCCTTTTTAAATATAGGAACAACATCTGCCTTCCTCCAATCCTCCGGTACAACACCTGAAACAAAAGAATCTTGAAAAATTAAATACAGAGGTTCACTTATTTCCCCACTTAGCTCCTTAAGTACTCGTGGGTGAATACCGTCAGGCCCCGGAGCTTTATTTACATTAATTTTCTTTAATAGCTGTAGCACCTTGTCTCGAGTTATCCAATCACAAGTTATTTGCAAGTTTTTAGCAGCAAACATTTGCATATCTCTTGCCATAGGATCCTCATTAATGTATACTGAAGAAAAATAGTTATTTAAAATTTCTGCTTTTTCCTGGTCTACATTAGCTAATAAACCCAACTCTGTTTCAAGTGTACCTACACCTTCATTTTTTGTTGTTTTAGAATTGATGTACTTGAAAAAATTTTTGGGGTTGGTTTTGCATTCTTTAGCTATCAATTTCTCATTTTCTAGTTTAGCCACTTTAATTGCCTTTTTGCAAGTGTTATTGGCTTCCTTATATCTTAAAATGGATGCCTTTGATTTGTCTGATTTAAATGCTTTAAATGCCCTTTTCTTATTTTTAATCTATTGTTTTACTTCTCTACTAAGCCACATTGGTTTTAATTTGTTTCTTTTATATTTATTACCCAATGGTACATACTGAGAAATGTACCTTTCTAATATATGTTTGAATAGTGTTTTTATCACTAAGGAGTTTATGCCAGTCGATATGTTGTAGAGCTGCACTAATCTTATTGAAACTGGCTTTTTTAAAATTATATGTTTTAGTATACCCCACCTGCTTTTGCTTTTTTGAGTTTATTTCAAAATTTACCATATTGTGATCACTATTCCCCAAATGCTCCCCTACTTGAATGTTGGTTAAAAGATCAACATTGTTTGTTATGACAAGATCCACACAAGCATCCTTTCTAGTTGGTGCTTGTACCAGTTGTGACATAAAGGTTTCATTTAACACATTCAAAAACCTGATTCCCCTTGCTGAAGTACTAGTCCCTCTTTCCCAATTTATGTCTGGATAATTAAAATCTCCAATAATTAACGTGTTACCTCGATTTGCAGCTTTCTCAATTTGCTCTAACAGCTGTTCTTCCTCATTAATATTTACATTAGGTGGTTTATAACATATCCCAACCAATAATTAATTTCCCTTCTTTTCCCCAAGCAGATATCTACCCATAAAGCCTCCACCTTTTCCTCGTCACACTCCACATGCCTAAGATTTGACTTTAACTCATGGTTGACATATAAACATACCCCACCACCCTTCTTGTTTTTCCTATCCTTCCAAAATAACGTGTACCCATTTAAATTAACTGCCCAGTCATGTGTCTCATCCCACCATGTTTCTGTTATGCCTATTATATCATATTGTTTATTGTATGCTATTGCCTCTAGTTCCCCCATTTTGTTATATAGGCTACTTGCATTAGTAAGCATACATTTATTATCATGAGTCTTTTGTACTTTTTGTGAATTATCAATATTACATACATATTACATGTCCCTTCTCTGTCTCTCCGCTCTGCCCGTGACCACCTCCTGTCCGTTGTCCGCACCCGTACGGCCAACACACGCTTGCAGGACTTCTCGCGTGCGGCTCCCTTCCTATGGAATAGCCTGCCTACCGCCATCAGACTCTCCCCTAGTCTTGCATCTTTTAAGAAGTGCCTTAAAACCCATCTCTTTAGGAAACCTTATGGCCTCCCAGATTAACCTCTACCTCACATACCTGTCTCCTGTTCTCTCCTAAAGGGCAGCCCACCTTATTTGACTGCAAATTAGGGAGGATAGGTAGGTGTAATCGGCTTTATGTAGGGATTTGTAAACAAGCACCAGAATCTAACTGGAAGCCAATGTAGGGAGTGACGGAGGGGGAGGCATGGGAGATGCGAACGGATAGGAAAATGAGCTTTGCCACCGCATTCATTATAAATTGCAATCCGGGAAGACGTAATACCACTGAGAAGGGGATTGCAGAAGTCAAGGCGAGAGAGAACAGAGGTATTGACTTGCACCTTAGCCACATCCGGCGTTAAATAGGGGCGGATGCACGCTATGTTTTTGAGATGGAAGCTCCAGGATTTGGCAATCGACTGGACATGAGGGGTGAAGGAGAGTTCGGGGTCAAAGAGAACACCTAGGCAGCAAGCCTGTGAGGTAGAGGTGATGGCGGCGCCGTTGACTTGGAGGGAGACAGACACAGGAGTAACAACACCTGAGGGAGGAAAGACCAGAAGTTCTGTTTTGGACAGGTTGAGTTTAAGGAAGTGAGCAGCCATCCAGTTGGAAATCGCGGAGAGGCAGTCAGAGACACTGGTCAAGATGGGCGGAGAGAGACCAGGAGAGGACAGGTAGATTTGTGTGTCATCTGAATATAAATGATAATGGAAGCCAAAGGAGCTGATGAGTTTACCAAGGGAGGCAGTACAGATATAAAACAGTAGGGGACCAAGGACAGAACCAATAGATAACTCTGGTTATTACACAGGTAATTCTAATATGTGCAAGGCTTGTTACTTCAGGATCAGGGTTGCATCAGTCAGGCATTTCTCAAGACAGATAGCCTTGCAGAGCGCCTCCTTAAAATGTCCTCACTTCCAGATGTATGGGTCACTGTCAGAGTTCTTGCCAATACAAACCTGGAAAAGTATTGTCAAGATCCTAATGGGGCTAATAGTAGACATCTAAAATGCCTATTTTCATGTTTGTGTTAACACAATTCACCATAGAGTTATCCAATTTGTGGTGCATGTACAGCATTTCCAGTTCAGAATTTTGTTCTTTGGGATCCGCAAGACTCCCAGTTACGTTTCCAAGATCTCCATGATTGCAGAGATCAGGCTTCACATGAGTCAATAATTCCACTATTTAAATGGGATCTTGGTCCTAGCTACAATGGAAAGAGACCCTCAGTAAACACGGGATTGGGACTCAGATGTTGGAATCTCATAGGCCATCAACCTAAAGAAAAAAAACATTCCACCAGAGCTCTATCCTCCTCCAAGGCATCGGCAGAGTTTCTGCAGAGCAGATTTGCTGGCATCTAGCTGGCATTTCTTGGACAATGGAAAGTTAAACTTTATCGTCACAGAATTGGAATTTGTTTGGGGGGTGGGGGGAAAGGGGGGGTTGTTCCCTCTTCCTGTTCTGGCCTGGGTATTACCTATCTTCAGTGCGGTCATGGACATTATTTCATACTTTAATATTTCTTGCCCAGTCATCTGCTGCGGCAGTACCACAAGTAGTGCCTTATAGCTTGGCACCAGACTGGGCAAACCAAATAATTTGGGATAGGTTCTGATTATGTGTCCAATAAGGTTGAGGTATTGGGATTATAACCTATCCATAATGCTGCCGTGGTATAAGACTGGGAGAGAATAATTACATCATAATTACAATATCATCATCTGTGTTCTGTTATCGCTTTTAAACTGGTTTTTCATTTTTTTTTTTTTTATAAACATAACATTGGATTTGTGACTGTGATGTACTCTGTAAAACAGGACAAACTACTGAATTTATTTTGAAGCATTTTTCTTTAACTAAACTATACACACATTATTAGTCGAAAAATGTCAGAATAAATCATATATTCTATATAATATACATCCTTGTTATTTAACATGTGGAAAGTAAAGACGTGTTCCTTCCTATATGGATTAGCCTAGCCCTACAACATATCTCGTAGGCTACAAAAGATGGTACAAGCAACTCTCCTAAAATATGGACAAATGAGCAATAAAGTTAATTATATTTAACAATATTTAAATATCCACAGAACAGAAACTCAACTGATTTTTTGATAAGACGTATTAAGGGTATACAGCAGAACGTTTTAATTAATTTCATTGTTAATTACTTGTTGATATAGTATGTAAATTTGCAGTAGTAAGTATAAGCAACGTGGGATGTATAAATGGGTAATTAATACTGAGTGGCCATTATTCACATGCTGAATGTGGTGCAGAATTTCGTAAATCATCCGAGTTAAAAGCTCCCATAACTGTGACAAATTCCATTTAATAAATGCTTATTTTTTAATCTGGTTTGCATTTCAATCATGTTTTTCATGGCTACAATACTTTTTCGATACATTATGGCAGCAACACACATTCCTCAATACTCTCGCAGTATTACAGCAACACACGTTCCTCGTTACTCTCCCAGTATTACAGCAACACACATTCCTCGTTACTCTCCCAGTATCACACATTACTCAATACTCTCCCAGTATTACACATTCCTCAATACTCTCCCAGTGTTACAGCAACACAAGCTTCTCATTACTCTCTCCAGTATTACAGTAACACAAGCTTCTCATTACTCTCTCCCCGTTACTCTCCCAGTATCACATATTACTCAATACTCTCACAGTATTACAGTAACACACATTCCTCAATACTCTCCCAGTATTACACATTCCTCAATACTCTCCCAGTATTACAGCAACACACATTCCTCAATACTCTCCCAGTATTACACATTCCTCAATACTCTCCCAGTATTACAGCAACACACATTCCTCAATACTCTCCCAGTATTACACATTCCTCAATACTCTCCCAGTGTTACAGCAACACAAGCTTCTCATTACTCTCTCCAGTATTACAGTAACAAGCTCTCATTACTCTCTCCAGCATTACAGTAACACAAGCTTCTCATTACTCTCTCCAGCATTACAGTAACACAAGCTTCTCGTTACTCTCTCCAGTATTACAGTAACACAAGCTTCTCGTTACTCTCTCCAGCATTACAGTAACACAAGCTTCTCATTCCTCTCTCCAGCATTACAGTAACACAAGCTTCTCGTTACTCTCTCCAGTATTACAGTAACACAAGCTTCTCGTTACTCTCTCCAGTATTACAGTAACACAAGCTTCTCGTTACTCTCTCCAGTATTACAGTAACACAAGCTCTCATTACTCTCTCCAGTATTACAGTAACACAAGCTCTCATTACTCTCTCCAGTATTACATTAACACAAGCTTCTCATTACTCTCTCCAGCATTACAGTAACACAAGCTCTCATTACTCTCTCCAGTATTACATTAACACAAACTTCTCATTACTCTCTCCAGCATTACAGTAACACAAGCTCTCATTACTCTCTCCAGTATTACATTAACACAAACTTCTCATTACTCTCTCCAGTATTACAGTAACACAAGCTTCTAATTACTCTCTCCAGCATTACAGTAACACAAGCTCTCATTACTCTCTCCAGCATTACAGTAACACAAGCTCTCATTACTCTCTCCAGTATTACAGTAACACAAGCTTCTCATTACTCTCTCCAGTATTACAGTAACACAAGCTTCTAATTACTCTCTCCAGCATTACAGTAACACAAGCTTCTCATTACTCTCTCCAGTATTACAGTAACACAAGCTCTCATTACTCTCTCCAGCATTACAGTAACACAAGCTCTCATTACTCTCTCCAGTATTACAGTAACACAAGCTTCTCGTTACTCTCTCCAGTATTACAGTAACACAAGCTTCTCATTACTCTCCCCAGTATTACAGTAACACAAGCTCTCCTTACTCTCTCCAGCATTACAGTAACACAAGCTCTCATTACTCTCTCCAGTATTACAGTAACACAAGCTTCTCATTACTCTCTCCAGCATTACAGTAACACAAGCTCTCATTACTCTCCCCAGTATTACAGTAACACAAGCTTCTCATTACTCTCTCCAGTATTACATTAACACAAGCTCTCATTACTCTCTCCAGTATTACAGTAACACAAGCTTCTCATTACTCTCTCCAGTATTACAGTAACACAAGCTCTCATTACTCTCTCCAGTATTACATTAACACAAACTTCTCATTACTCTCTCCAGCATTACAGTAACACAAGCTCTCATTACTCTCTCCAGTATTACAGTAACACAAGCTTCTCATTACTCTCTCCAGCATTACAGTAACACAAGCTCTCATTACTCTCCCCAGTATTACATTAACACAAACTTCTCATTACTCTCTCCAGTATTACAGTAACACAAGCTTCTCGTTACTCTCTCCAGCATTACAGTAACACAAGCTTCTCGTTACTCTCTCCAGCATTACAGTAACACAAGCTTCTCATTACTCTCTCCAGTATTACAGTAACACAAGCTTCTCGTTACTCTCTCCAGCATTACAGTAACACAAGCTCTCATTACTCTCTCCAGCATTACAGTAACACAAGCTCTCATTACTCTCTCCAGCATTACAGTAACACAAGCTTCTTGTTCCTCTCTCCAGCATGACAGTAACACAAGCTTCTCGTTACTCTCTCCAGTATTACAGTAACACAAGCTTCTCGTTACTCTCTCCAGCATTACAGTAACACAAGCTTCTCGTTACTCTCTCCAGTATTACAGTAACACAAGCTTCTCGTTACTCTCTCCAGTATTACAGTAACACAAGCTCTCATTACTCTCTCCACTATTACAGTAACACAAGCTCTCATTACTCTCTCCAGTATTACATTAACACAAGCTTCTCATTACTCTCTCCAGCATTACAGTAACACAAGCTCTCATTACTCTCTCCAGTATTACATTAACACAAACTTCTCATTACTCTCTCCAGCATTACAGTAACACAAGCTCTCATTACTCTCTCCAGTATTACAGTAACACAAGCTTCTCATTACTCTCTCCAGTATTACAGTAACACAAGCTCTCATTACTCTCTCCAGTATTACAGTAACACAAGCTTCTCGTTACTCTCTCCAGCATTACAGTAACACAAGCTCTCATTACTCTCTCCAGTATTACAGTAACACAAGCTTCTCATTACTCTCTCCAGTATCACAGTAACACAAGCTTCTCATTACTCTCTCCAGTATTACAGTAACACAAGCTCTCATTACTCTCTCCAGTATTACAGTAACACAAGCTTCTCGTTACTCTCTCCAGCATTACAGTAACACAAGCTCTCATTACTCTCTCCAGTATTACAGTAACACAAGCTCTCCTTACTCTCCCCAGTATTACAGTAACACAAGCTTCTCGTTACTCTCTCCAGCATTACAGTAACACAAGCTTCTTGTTCCTCTCTCCAGCATTACAGTAACACAAGCTTCTCGTTACTCTCTCCAGCATTACAGTAACACAAGCTCTCATTTCTCTCTCCAGTATTACAGTAACACAAGCTTCTCATTACTCTCTCCAGTATTAAAGTAACACAAGCTTCTCGTTACTCTCTCCAGTATTACAGTAACACAAGCTCTCCTTACTCGCTCCAGTATTACAGTAACACAAGCTCTCATTACTCTCTCCAGTATTACAGTAACACAAGCTCTCCTTACTCTCTCCAGTATTACAGTAACACAAGCTCTCATTACTCTATCCAGTATTACAGTAACACAAGCTCTCATTACTCTCTCCAGTATTACAGTAACACAAACTTCTCATTACTCTCTCCAGTATTACAGTAACACAAGCTTCTCGTTACTCTCTCCAGCATTACAGTAACACAAGCTCTCATTACTCTCTCCAGTATTACAGTAACACAAGCTATCATTACTCTATCCAGTATTACAGTAACACAAGCTCTCATTACTCTCTCCAGTATTACAGTAACACAAGCTCTCATTACTCTCTCCAGTATTACAGTAACACAAGCTCTCATTACTCTCTCCAGCATTACAGTAACACAAGCTTCTCGTTACTCTCTCCAGTATTACAGTAACACAAGCTCTCATTACTCTCTCCAGCATTACAGTAACACAAGCTTCTCGTTACTCTCTCCAGCATTACAGTAACACAAGCTTCTCGTTACTCTCTCCAGCATTACAGTAACACAAGCTCTCATTTCTCTCTCCAGTATTACAGTAACACAAGCTCTCCTTACTCGCTCCAGTATTACAGTAACACAAGCTCTCATTACTCTCTCCAGTATTACAGTAACACAAGCTCTCATTACTCTCTCCAGTATTACAGTAACACAAGCTCTCATTACTCTCTCCAGTATTACAGTAACACAAGCTCTCCTTACTCTCTCCAGTATTACAGTAACACAAGCTCTTATTTCTCTCTCCAGTATTACAGTAACACAAACTTCTCATTACTCTCTCCAGTATTACAGTAACACAAGCTTCTCGTTACTCTCTCCAGTATTACAGTAACACAAGCTATCATTACTCTATCCAGTATTACAGTAACACAAGCTCTCATTACTCTCTCCAGTATTACAGTAACACAAGCTCTCATTACTCTCTCCAGTATTACCGTAACACAAGCTTCTCGTTACTCTCCCCAGCATTACAGTAACACAAGCTCTCCTTTCTCTCTCCAGCATTACAGTGGCACCACAAGCTATAGATTTACTCTCTCCCAGTATTACAGTAACATAAGCGTCTCATTATACTCTCAGTATTACAGTAACCTGGCTTCTTTCGTTACTCTCCAGCATTACAGTAACACAAGCTTCTCGTTACTCTCTCCAGCATTACAGTAACACAAGCTCTCATTACTCTCTCCAGTATTACAGTAACACAAGCTTCTCATTACTCTCTCCAGTATTACAGTAACACAAGCTTCTCATTACTCTCTCCAGCATTACAGTAACACAAGCTTCTCGTTACTCTCTCCAGTATTACAGTAACACAAGCTTCTCATTACTCTCTCCAGTATTACAGTAACGCAAGCTCTCATTACTCTCTCCAGTATTACAGTAACACAAGCTCTCATTACTCTCTCCAGCATTACAGTAACACAAGCTTCCCATTACTCTCTCCAGTATTACATTAACACAAACTTCTCATTACTCTCTCCAGTATTACAGTAACACAAGCTCTCATTACTCTCTCCAGTATTACAGTAACACAAGCTTCTCATTACTCTCTCCAGCATTACAGTAACACAAGCTTCTCGTTACTCTCTCCAGCATTACAGTAACACAAGCTCTCATTACTCTCTCCAGTATTACAGTAACACAAGCTCTCATTACTCTCTCCAGTATTACAGTAACACAAGCTCTCATTACTCTCTCCAGTATTACAGTAACACAAGCTCTCCTTACTCTCTCCAGTATTACAGTAACACAAGCTCTTATTTCTCTCTCCAGTATTACAGTAACACAAACTTCTCATTACTCTCTCCAGTATTACAGTAACACAAGCTTCTCGTTACTCTCTCCAGTATTACAGTAACACAAGCTCTCATTACTCTCTCCAGTATTACAGTAACACAAGCTTCTCGTTACTCTCTCCAGCATTACAGTAACACAAGCTTCTCGTTACTCTCTCCAGCATTACAGTAACACAAGCTTCTCATTACTCTCTCCAGCATTACAGTAACACAAGCTTCTCGTTACTCTCTCCAGTATTACAGTAACACAAGCTCTCATTACTCTCTCCAGTATTACAGTAACACAAGCTTCTCGTTACTCTCTCCAGTATTACAGTAACACAAGCTCTCATTACTCTCTCCACTATTACAGTAACACAAGCTCTCATTACTCTCTCCAGTATTACATTAACACAAGCTTCTCATTACTCTCTCCAGCATTACAGTAACACAAGCTCTCATTACTCTCTCCAGTATTACATTAACACAAACTTCTCATTACTCTCTCCAGCATTACAGTAACACAAGCTCTCATTACTCTCTCCAGTATTACAGTAACACAAGCTTCTCATTACTCTCTCCAGTATTACAGTAACACAAGCTCTCATTACTCTCTCCAGTATTACAGTAACACAAGCTTCTCGTTACTCTCTCCAGCATTACAGTAACACAAGCTCTCATTACTCTCTCCAGTATTACAGTAACACAAGCTTCTCATTACTCTCTCCAGTATCACAGTAACACAAGCTTCTCATTACTCTCTCCAGTATTACAGTAACACAAGCTCTCATTACTCTCTCCAGTATTACAGTAACACAAGCTTCTCGTTACTCTCTCCAGCATTACAGTAACACAAGCTCTCATTACTCTCTCCAGTATTACAGTAACACAAGCTCTCCTTACTCTCCCCAGTATTACAGTAACACAAGCTTCTCGTTACTCTCTCCAGCATTACAGTAACACAAGCTTCTTGTTCCTCTCTCCAGCATTACAGTAACACAAGCTTCTCGTTACTCTCTCCAGCATTACAGTAACACAAGCTCTCATTTCTCTCTCCAGTATTACAGTAACACAAGCTTCTCATTACTCTCTCCAGTATTAAAGTAACACAAGCTTCTCGTTACTCTCTCCAGTATTACAGTAACACAAGCTCTCCTTACTCGCTCCAGTATTACAGTAACACAAGCTCTCATTACTCTCTCCAGTATTACAGTAACACAAGCTCTCCTTACTCTCTCCAGTATTACAGTAACACAAGCTCTCCTTACTCTCTCCAGTATTACAGTAACACAAGCTCTCATTACTCTCTCCAGTATTACAGTAACACAAGCTTCTAATTACTCTCTCCAGCATTACAGTAACACAAGCTTCTCATTACTCTCTCCAGTATTACAGTAACACAAGCTTCTCGTTACTCTCTCCAGCATTACAGTAACACAAGCTCTCATTACTCTCTCCAGTATTACAGTAACACAAGCTTCTCGTTACTCTCTCCAGTATTACAGTAACACAAGCTTCTCATTACTCTCTCCAGTATTACAGTAACACAAGCTTCTCATTACTCTCTCCAGTATTACAGTAACACAAGCTTCTCATTACTCTCTCCAGTATTACAGTAACACAAGCTTCTCATTACTCTCTCCAGTATTAAAGTAACACAAGCTTCTCGTTACTCTCTCCAGCATTACAGTAACACAAGCTTCTCATTACTCTCTCCAGTATTACAGTAACACAAGCTTCTCATTACTCTCTCCAGTATTAAAGTAACACAAGCTTCTCATTACTCTCTCCAGTATTACAGTAACACAAGCTCTCATTACTCTCTCCAGCATTACAGTAACACAAGCTCTCGTTACTCTCTCCAGCATTGCAGGAATACAAGCTTCTCGTTAGTTTGAAATACTCTGAAATTGTTTTAACCAATGCTTCATGTTTATTAAACAAATGTCTTTAATTTAATAATGTTTTACAGGTGACATTTTTCAGTGTTCAACTCTCACCATAAAACAGAAGCTTATTATTAGGAGAATTATTCCCATACAGAACAGTAGTCTTTTAAACACACCTTCAGGAACTAAAATCATTCAATGTCACCGAAACAGGGGGCTCCCAAACTGGCCCGCATGTATCCCCTGAAATATGAGAATAGCCAGTCTGTATGCAATCCCCTTATAGACCTAGGTTCTTAAGATGGAGTGCTCACAGACTGGAAATTCACATCCCGGACTCAGGAACAATTCTTCTAGAAGCAAACACCTAAGTCAGACCTGGTGATCTGACAGTTCAAGAAACATATCAATAAATAGAGACAAGGTCGGGTGCAATGGGGGAATCTGGGTATGAAGAAAAGGAAAGTGTTTATTAGGATTTTTTTTTTAATTCAAAATAAAAGAATAAAAGTGCATGACCCATCCCCATTATTTATAAAATCTAATTCAGAAAAACATAGATGTAAATCCAGGTCACAGACACTGGGTTGGTCACTAATACCTTGGAAGAGTGTGCATCACCGGAGAGAGCAGCCGGTGTCTGTGAAAGGTTACAGTATGTTTTGTAAACTTTGTCTTTGGAACACTGACAAAACATAGATTTTCAATAAAAAGACACAGGGTCCCAGCGTTCATTCCCTTCAGATGACCTCGTCCTTGAGTAGAATGCGTTCCTTAGCCTTTTGGCCCTCATGCAGATTAAACCCACCATCACAGACTTAGTCACCCAACACCTTGCGTTAATATCTCTGCTCCCCACAAAATTTCTAACTCACGAGGACAGTGGAAGTAGAATTATATACAAGACATTTCTGTAATGAAGAGCTTACATGCCTTAATTCACAGTCATTTTCTCAAACTATTGTAAAATTATATTCATTCAGAATCCGTAGTATTTAGGCTTCTGGACATCCAAACTCCATAAAATATTGTGGTGCTTTTTATATTGATTCCGATGGCCTTGGCTTAGCATGTCGTCAGACCCTGTTACCAAAATGTTCAATGATCTCGTTATGCTCTGTTAATTTATACACTGACTTATACTATCAATTCTGGGGCTATTTATATAAAGCATATCGAGAACTGCTTGAGGTAATATTCCCTTGTATCCAAAAAGCTCACATTCCTTAATAGTCGAGCATTTCATTCGATCAGTACTAAAATATCGCAATAGGAAAAATTGGGTATTCAATTTAGACTGAGTTTATAAAAATACAGGTTTTTCATTCAAATTCAAAAATGCATTATTTTTTTTTAATGGTTTGTATGGGACTGTTAGTTGTGTAGAGAAAATCTAGGAAATTATATCCTACTAAATAAATAATAAGAAAATTACAAAAAGGTCATAACATTTCTGTTATACAGGAATAGTAATGCCTTGAGATTGTTCTAGAATGTGATACATTGTGCAGAGAGAAATGCTAGCAGGTAACATGGAGTTAGAAGATTGTGTCACAATTTCAGTTTTCCTGCCAAACCTTGTTGGGTCCTTTTATGTCGTACAGTAAAAGGCAAAATAACGAAGATTGTCTTTAGTAAGCATTAGTTTGGTGAATTTACCAAAACACCCATAGCATGGTCAAGGGCTCAGGAAAAAAAAAAAACTAGACAACTGAAACTTTCTATTTTCTGATGTGCTCTTTGGGAGATGTGACTTGAAGTTATAATGAGATTGGCCACTAGTAAAGTATGTGTTCCCACTGTGTTTCCAATGTAAGATACTTAGATGAACATTCACAGAACCCTCTAGAAGGGACAGGCAGTTTCATGTTACACCTGAGCTGGTGACTGCATCGTTACGTGGGAATCCTGCAGTAGTATTGGCACCTGATGGAGAAAACCCCCACTCCTAAGGTCATTTTTTATTCATCAATGACCCAAAAAGCCTAGGTACTAATTTGCCACCTTTCTTATCTTTGGAATCAGAATCATCATTTTCTTCAGTGGGGCTTTGTTGTTCTTCCTTTTTGCAGAAGACTTCAAACCTACTGTAGACTCTTTTCTCTTTCCTTATGCTTTCCATGCGTCTCAATAGGTTATCTCTGTCCTCGGGAGAAGTCGCAGAGGGCCTAGAGAAACGACTTCGGCTAAGAAAACTACCAGTCCTGTTGATGGCCGATGAATCTGCATTGGCAACTTCTTCAACTTTGCTTTCAGACGAGTTGGAACTAGTACTGTTTGTTTCTGACGTGTTGGAGGATAGAGCTTGCTGTGTTTGTTTCGCCATCTCAGCCCGGTTTTTTTGACTATTAGCAGATATCTGCTCCAAAATAACCTTGGTGTCATCACGGAGGTTACTACTAAAGATAACATTTGAAGTTGAAGAGGACAATCTGCTCTGAGGAGCAGGAGCAGGAGCAGGCTTTGGTGGAGACACAGAAACTTGTTTAGTGGTCTTTTCCTCATTTTCCATCATCATTGGCTCTGTTATTTCTGCTTTAGAATGACGTCTCAGAGCAATGTTCTGTTTCTCCATCTTCACTGCATCTGAAGAGGAGTCCTCTTCTAACTTTTTATCAGCCTTTGACTGCAAAAACTGTTTTAGCTTCATGGACCCTCTGCGAATAAATTCTATAGGGTTCTGCTCCAACTTTGCTATTTCCTCTTCTGATTTATTTACAGAACTGATACTTGTTGGATTTTGTGACATCATTTCCAAAGCATTTCCAAAGGAAAGTCCAGAGTTTGGCCTGCTTGTTGGTTTCTGCTTGTCTGCATCTGGCTTTGGTGTTTCTGCAATTTCTGTGATAGATGGCACACTTTCTTTCTTATCTGGAAAAGGCTTGCTACTTTCTATAGTTTTAAAGCTTGCAGCCTTCTGTTCAATCTTTGTGACAGAGCTAACCTGCCTATCTTTGTTAAAAAGGTCCTGGAAGTGAGAGGTCACTGAGGAACGATACTGTGATTCAAGAATTGTACTGCTAATTGAATCCTTTTCCAGCAACTTGGATTCAAGTGCCTTGTACGCCACAGTTTCTGTGCTTTTCTTCTGTCCCTCCTCTGTTTCTTCATGAATAACTCTAGAAGCTGCCTTAGTTTGTGTCACCGTTGTGCTTTCTGTGTCTTTGTTCACACTCTTATACCTTTCCAAGAGTTCAGCCACCTTTGAAGAGGTTTTTGTAATTTCATTTTCCTGAATCACTTCGCTTGCTCGGTGCTCTTTCTGAAGAATTTGTGAAGTCTCCGTAGTGGAACTGTGCTGTTCCAACTTGGAGCTGCTGAAGATCAGGGAAGACCTGAGACGAGAACTCCTCTGGATCAATGGATTAGTCCTTGATCTGAAAGAATCATGTCTCGATAAAAAGCTATCTTCTTTTTCTGCAACGCTGGCATCTTTGATGTTATCCACTTCCATAGCTGGATTATTAAAAATTGCTGAAGGCTTGAAAGGTGGGATTGGATCAATGGTAAATTTTAATACAGACTCATTTTGGGGCACAGGCCTTTCAATGGGTACAAGCGCATCATCATTTGCATCAGAGTCTATTGCCATAGGTAAACCCTCTTCATCTTGGTCAGGCTGAATTCCACTCAGGTAAGAGGAGATCCTCCAACTGCGCATTCCTTGCTTATTTTCTTGAGGCTTTTTATCTGCATCTTGGTCCTGAAAGAAGTGTCTTTGTTCAATACTTTGCTTTTGTGTAGGAGACATCTGACACACATATTTCTGACGGACCTGTGACCGTTGGCCAAATTTTCCATCCATACTATTCATGACTTGGTCTGAGCCATGTCTCACCTCACGAGAAGAGCTAGAGGGGTTATAACCAAGTCTTGTGTAAGGGCCTTCAAGGGCAAAATTACTCTCTCCTGGTAAGGCCTTTTGAGAATATCTGGAGTCAGTCTCTTCCATATCTTGCATACCTTGCCTATTTCCTCGAATCTTTTCAAAAAGCCCCTGTGTTCGAGCAGGGCTGAAAGGGCGTTCAACTTGCATGAATTGGCTCTTTTGGAACTGACTGGACTGGAATCGGTACTCATCGTTGTTGTTCATAAACATTTGCCTAGTATATTGTTTGGAAGCAGAATAATTCTCAAAGGTGCCTTCTGCAAAACTGTGTCTTTTAAATGCATCAATTTCCATTTGTTTGTGCATAAAGGACATCTGAGTTTTCTCCATCTCCATCTGGTTCTTGCCATACATCCTCATACCAGAATTTTCCATGTTATGCCTCATCATTTCTTCTCTTCTAAAAGGTTGCAAAAAGTGTCGATCAGGGTCTACCCCAAAGTTTGGGAAAGAGTTCTGAGAGCTGTCATCCCTGGGGTACATGAAGTGCAGTTTCCGATCGTACATGGGTCGAGGACCAGCAAAGGGGACCATTCCCATATACGGTTTCTCCATCTTAGCCAAAGCATTCTCTGGGGGGATGAGAGGATCAGACTGGGCAAAAAGAATCCGAAATTCTTCATCAAAGCTAGAGACCAGCTCTCCCTGGAAGATGTGAGCCATGCTACGGTGGATCTTCTCAAACGACCACATAAAGCTGGAAGAAACACACAAAACCAACAGGCTGTGAAATAACTATTTATATGGCATAAAATATCTTAAGAGCCTAAAACAACAAACATCACAATATACAGATGTTATACCATAAGCACATTATTTCAGAGTAAATGGGCTATGGGCAATGATTTTGAAAACTGCTATAAGACAGCCCAATAGGCTGTGAATCATACAGCCTGGAGAACTTACTTCCAGGTTACCACTATAAATATTGTCCTTATTGTACGTGTGCAGTTAGGAAGGCTCTCTCTTAGTCGCGATCAGTATCCCAGCAGATACTAAAATAAAGCACGGTGTTTAAATTGTGCCATAACTGTTATCACTCCTGATTGGAGCATCTCATCCTGGTGTGGGAGAGAGGTCTTGTTGTAGTGTACCGAGGGATAGGTTTACAAGGTAAAAAAACATTTTTTAATTTAAAATGTTGCCATTGTTATATATATATATATATATATATATATATATAATGCATTAAAACATATTGTGTCAGATTTTACCTAGACTAACTACCCATTCCCTCACTTCTGATGCACCATCTGAGAGAGTTATCCTAAATCTAAACTTTAAAGGCACTCTCCAGTGCCAGGAAAACATATTCGTTTTTCTGGCACTACAGGACCCTGCAGTGCCCCTTTCCCTCCCACCCCCCATCCCAAGTTGTTGAAGGGGTTAAAACCCCTTCAGTGACTTACCGGAGTCCAGCGCCGATGTTCCTCAAAGCTGGGTCAGGCCCCGCCTATTCTCCTCCCCCACCGATGTCAGCCAGCGGGGAAATACTAATGCGCGGCAATGGCCGCTTGCGCATTAGACCTCCCCATAGGAAAGCATTATTCTAAGGAAAGATATCATGGCACTAGAAAAAGTGCAGAGACGAGCTACAAAATTGATAAAAGGAATGGAGCATTTTAGTTACGAAGAAAGGTTAAAAAATGTAAATCTCTTTAGTTTGGAAAAACGGCACCAGAGAGGGGATATGATAACATTATACAAATATATTCGGGGCCAGTACAAACCATTATCTGGAAATCTATTCATAAACAGGGCTATATAAGACACAAGGTCACACATGTAGGCTTGAAGAAAGAAGATTTCATCTAAGGCAAAGATGTTTTTTTACAGTAAGAGCAATAAGGATATGGAATTCTTTGCCTGAAGAGGTGGTTTTGTCAGAGTCTATACAGATGTTTAACCCCTTAAAACCGGAGGGCGTACTATTACGCCCTATTCTAAGCAGCTCTAAACGCCGCAGGGCATAACAGTACGCCCTCCGTTTTTGTTAAAAATAAAAAATAAAAAAATAATAAAAAAAAAATAATTAAAAAACATATAGATGTGTGTTATTTCATTCTAACTGTATTGTCATATTAATATATATATATTTATATCAAAATACACGTAGAACGAAATAATATATACGTATATATCACTATATATACCTATCTATAAATAAAAAAATTAAAAAAATGTATATATATATATATATATATATATATATATATATATATATATATATATATATATATATATATATATATATATATATATATATATATATATAAACCTTTACATGGGGGGCACGGTTTTACTCGGGAGACTTCGCTGAACACAAATATTAGTGTTTCAAAACAGTAAAATGTATTGCAACGATGATATCGCATTTTTCACACACAAACAGCACTTACACAGACAATATTATTGCTGTGATACTTTTTACTGTTTTGAAACACAAATATTTGTGTTCAGCGAAGTCTCCCGAGTACAACAGTACCCCTCATGTACAGGTTTTATGGTGTTTTCAAAAGTTACAGCGTCAAATATAAGGCTTGTGTTTCATTTTTTTCACATTAAAATTCGCCAGATTGGTTACGTTGCCTTTGAGACCCTATGGTAGCCCAAGAATGAAAATTACCCCTATGATGGCATACCATTTGCAATAGTAGACAACCCAAGGTATTGCAAACGGGGTATGTCCAGTCTTTTTTAGTAGCCACTTAGTCACAAACACTGGCCAAAATTGGCTTTTTTTGCATTTTTCACACAAACAAATACTAACGCTAACTTTGGCCAGTGTTTGTGACCAAATGGCTACTAGAAAAGACTGGACATACCCCATTTGCAATACCTTGGGTTATCTACTTTTGCAAATGGTATGCCATTATGGGTGTAAATTTCATTCCTGGGCTACTATAAAGTCCCAAATGCAACGTAACCAATCTGGCGAATTTAAATTTCAAATGTAACGTGCTATATTTGACCCTGTAACTTCCCAAAACGCCATAAAACCTGTACATAGTGGGTACTGTTTTACACGTGAGACTTTGCTGAATACAAATATGTGTATTTTATTGCAGTAAAAGCAAACAGTATTATGACATTGACAGTTAAAATGTCATGTAGAACTAAAAAAAATAACATTTCTTATTTTCTCCCATTTTTTCATATTAAATTATGTTTCATAGCTAAATATTTGATATTAAATGAAAGCCCTGTTTCCCCTGAATAAAATGATATATAATAAGTGTGGGTGCATTTAATATGAAAGAGGTGAATTACAGTTGGACAGACATGTAGCGCAAATGCCAGGTTTTGTTTACGTTTTGTTTTGTTCACAACTAGAGATGTCGCGAACTGCTCGCGAACTGTTCGCAAACTGTCCGCCGGCGAACAATAGCGTGTTCGCGTTAGGCGAACATATGTGATTTCCGGTCCGCCCCCTATTCGTCATCATTGAGTACACTTTGACCCAGAACCTCACAGTCAGCAGACACTTCCTGGGAGGGAGGGTCTGCTGCTGATTGGCTGGAATGTGTCTGCTGACTGTGAGGTTCCGGGTCAAAGTGTACTCAATGATAACGAATAGAGGGCGGACTGGAAATCGCATATGTTCGTCCAACGCGAACACGCTATTGTTCGCCGGCGGACAGTTCACGAACAGTTCGGCGAGCAGTTCGCGACATCTCTATTCACAACATGTACATTTGGCTCCGTCCTTAAGGGGTTAAACTGCAATTGGATAAATACTTGCAAAAACATAACATACAGGGATATAATTTCTAATTAATGGGGTAATAGTTGTTTGATCCAAGGAGATATCTGACTGCTATTTTGGGGTCAAGAAGGAATTTTTTCCTAGTTTGTTGCAAAATTGGAAGCGCTTCAGACTGGGTTTTTTGCCTTCTTTTGGATCAACAGCAAAAACATATGTGAGGAAGGCTGAACTTGATGGACTCAAGTCTCTTTTCAGCTATGTAACTATGTAAGTGGATTTCGGCAACGCTGGAGGTCCTCACATAGCGCGAGGACGTGCAGCGCCGTTTAAAACACTTTTCGTGTTCTAAGCCACTAGAGGAGGACTTAACCATGCAAGGTAATTATTGCAGTTTAAAAAAATGCAATAATTACACTTGCAGGGTTTAGGGTGGTGGGAGTTGGCACCCAGACCACTCCAATGGGCAGAAGTGGTCTGGGTGCCTGGAGTGTCCCTTTAAGCAGATAAGTTATAAAATATTAACAAGACAATCTATGGGACCTCATGACATCAGTAAGGATCTGATTGAACACATGATGTAAGTAATGATGACATCACAGGATTTATATCGGGTCTACAGTGAAGAGAATCTCCTAGGGCTGAAATAAATGTGAGTTTATTATCTATTTAAACCCCTTGAAATGTGAATATGGGGTAATCTAATCAGAACATGGACACTTTAACTATATTATAACATATAAATATATACACACATACACACACACACACAATATACACACACACACATTAATAATATAGTCTTATCTTCTTGAGAGTCTCTTTGAGTGCATATTTTATATCTTTCAGCTTATAAAAACTGTGGGATGTCTGTGAGTATATTTAAGGAGGTGCATATCATAAACTATTTAAATATGATCTAAGGGATAAAGCTATGGGATGTAAACGTATATTTCAAATGTTACTTTACCCCTTTTGAGAGGGGGGCCATATTAGATGTTATATGTCCTATTGCGGGGCTTAACAAATCCCAAGAGCCAGGTATTTTCTTCTAGGATTTTTTTCCTGACACATGGATGTTCCAGGAGCGGAGGCCAGTGGGTCCAGGAATAATGGAGACGGGTGTAAGATGGAGCTGTAATCTTCCTGCTGTTCTGGCCGGTGCCAGTGTTTGTGTGTCTGTCTGTCTGTGAATGCGTCTGTCAAGGTGACCTGCAACCATCCCCCCCCCACCACTGATCACATTGGAAAGGTGTTTTAAATAACCTTTTTACCCATGCCGTGCCTGTGTCGCCATAGCTGAGATAATCAATCTTGATGATATCAGCCAAGCCAATGCTTTCCAATAGGCCAATGCGTTATTGCAAAGGGGCAGCAAAACACCACGCTATGCCAATCAGCATCTCCTCATAGGGATGCATTGAATCATTGCATCTCTATGGGGAATATTCAGCACGCACATGCAAAACTGTGCAGCACTGGACCAGGAATCACCTCTAAAGGCTGTCTGAGAGACTGTCACTAGGGGTGTTGCTAGGCAGCAATGTAAACACTGCTTTTTCTCTGAAAAGGCTGTGTTTACACTGAAAAGCCTGCAGGGACAGGTTACAGACACCAGAACTACTTCATTAAGCTGTAGTGGGTCTGGTAACTATAGTGTCCCTTTAAGAATTGTATTTTTTTTTTTTTTTTTAATGAAACTGTTCGTTTAAAAAAAAAAAAAAAACCTGGCTCCTAACTTTTTCAGCTGGCTCTTAGATCCGTACTGGCCATTGTGTAGAAGGCATGTGAAACCTGTAATAAAAAGGTGTTACCTACCTCAAAACCAGCACAAACCTACTAGTGCTGCTTTTCTGCGTTCCATCTTTAAGTCACTGGGCCAACACGTGGTCCAGACACAGAGAAGCCTGTTAAAAAACAGGATAGTGGGACAGCGCTAAAAAATCAATAGAAGTTGAAAAACAGATAAGGAAGCAGCAACCTATAAAAATGAGGTTCCCTCTCAACTCCTCACATAAAAGGGCAAACAAAAGAAAATATATAGGTCGCGCTATATGGTGAAGCCTGTGATTGGTCCAATTCGCCAACTATAGCTCATTCATGACAGGGAAGGGACGGTGGAAGTAGGGAAGGAGGATTTATTTAAAAAACTAGCACACAATTATCTCAGTATGTGCAGTGAAAGAATGCACTGACAACTACCTCCATGACCACATTAATCCCTGGGATCTCTCAGATTATATTAACATGGTGCAGGATATAAAATATTAATCTCTGGGATCTCTCAGATTATATTAACACAGTGCAGGATATAAAATATTAATCTCTGGGATCTCTCAGATTATATTAACACGGTGCATGATATAAAACATTAATCCCTGGGATCTCTCAGATTATATTAACACGGTGCATGATATAAAATATTAATCCCTGGGATCTCTCAGAGTATATTAACATGGTGCATGATATACAATATTAATCTCTGTGATCTCTCGTCGGTAATAAATCCCCCCAATAGCGAGACCAAGCTCCGCATTGAGGGTAAAACAAGAACTGGCTTTACTGTGGGCTACCTGCCCGTATTTATGCAGGTCTCCCACTTGGTGGACACTCCCCTAGGAGACCAAATGGGAGACTGTGACAACAGATAGACATATGGCAGTTCAGGACCCACAGACACAAAATATTCCCAGCATGCAATAGTAATTCCTCCCCTCTGCCCTGGAGATAATTGAGAAGTAATTCAATTATCTCCAGGACAGAGGCAAATCGCCATTTTAAATACAACACATAAAAACACATAAAAATAGATAACTTTACATTTGTCGAATGCTACCCATTTTTATCACATATCCCCAGATAGCCTGGATCTGAGTGCATATTATTGGCGAATAGCGCTCAGATCCCATACGCATAGTTCAATCGCCATGGCGTCAAAGTCTATTACAGTTCTTCGGTATGCGATTGACTCCATGGGAAGGCTATCTGGGGTAAGTCCATTCGTGCCTTTAAACCTCCCGAACGGCCGGTGTTCGCACACTTCTGTTGATGGAGAAGGGAGGTCGACTGCTTCAGCGGTGTTCGATTGAAAAAGTGTCCGTTTTCAGTTCCATGAAATCAATGCCGAACACCACTGGTCTTTCGCATGGTTTAAAATGGCCGCCGCCTCGTGGTCAACATACGAACGACGACCACCCTGTATTCGGTTTTAATTGAGAAGTGTCTCTGGTTAACCGCAACGTTCTAATTGGAATCAATAGGTTAACCAGCAGCACACTTCTCTTCTGGGTGGCCGTCCGTTCGGCAGTTTTGTTCGGCAGAAAAGTCAATTCCCTTGAACAAAGGCATACGAACGGGTAAATTTGTGAAAAAGGCAAAACAGACGAATCCAGCAATCTTAGATGGATCTGTCACAACGGTGCATGATATAAAACATTAAAATACGGGATCTCTCAGATTATATTAACACTGTGCATGATAAAAAAATATTAAACTATGGGATCTCTCAGATTATATTAACACGGTGCAGGATATAAAATATTAATATCTGGGATCTCTCAGAGTATATTAACACGGTGCAGGATATAAAATATTAATCTCTGGGATCTCTCAGATCATGTTAACACGGTGCAGGATAAAAATATAAAATTTTGGGATCTCTCAAATTAATATTTTATATCATGCACCATGTTAATATAATCTGAGAGATCCCGTATTTTAATGTTTTATATCATGCACCGTGTTAATATAATCTGAGAGATCCCATAGTTTAATGTGTTATATCATGCTTAACATTAAACCTTATTACCACATTCATTCATGTTTTTCTGGAAAGACAGGTTAGGTAGGACACAATGTAGAGAGGCTAAGATCATAAGATCAAGATTTATAACCCCTCTTACTTAAAATTATCACATTGATTGTGTCTGAATGATTCGGCTAAACTACACTGGGAACAGGGGATAACTGGGGTAATAAAAAATAAGAAATGATCCCAAGGCACACCACGGTTTTGCACATAAAAAGAGTATTTATTCATGCATAGAAAATACAGCAAGATATTATCATATCGTATTAGGTCCCCAAGAGGAAGGCTTCACAGCCGAAACATTGGGGTTTCATTTCTCCTGCTCTTGGTCAGTATAAATTTAGCACTTTACTTACATTGTGGTTTTGGTACTATATACTGGTTTAGCACTATACTATGCACTTTCTCTCCCCTATAATGATATCTTGCTGTATTTTCAATGCATGAATAAATACTCTTTATGTGCAAAACCGTGGTGTGCCTTGGGATCATTTCTTATTTTGTATATATCTGGTATGGGAACAGATTCTCTTCCTTTAAGAGCACCTTGTACCTTATAAACTACACACTTACTACCCATTTTTCAGTAGAGCTCTTCCTGTGATTTTATGTTGATAACTGGGGTAAAACAGGAAGGTTTAGTAATTGGGAGAGATCAATGGAAATATTTCAAATATGGAATGTAATTTACCCAAAAGCCCTTTTGCCCAGAGAGCGCTATCCAATAATGAGCCAGCATAGGAGGGGAAGATCACATGGGAGATAATAAAATACCCCTGAACTGGGGATGATTATAACAGCAGACAGAAAAATTGCCACACCTGTAAGTCCCACTCAGTACTACTGTGCAGTCCACCAACAGAAACTTCTCCAGCAGATTCCCCTTAAAGGTGGTGCCCGTCCGGCAGAAATACGTCTGGCCAGATACTGTCCGAACCCTCAGGAACTGAAACACAGATCAACATATACCAGCATGAGAGTTACCGTGTAAAGCAGTGAAAAGCAGTATGAGAGTTACCGTGCAAAGCGGTGAAAAGCAGTATGAGAGTTACCGTATAAAGCAGTGAAAAGCAGTATGAGAGTTACCGTGCAAAGCGGTGAAAAGCAGTATGAGAGTTACCGTGCAAAGCGGTGAAAAGCAGTATGAGAGTTACCGTGTAAATCTATGTTTCTATGTTAAAGCGGTGAAAAGCAGTGTGTGAGATACCGTGTAAAGCGGTTTGAGAGAGTTGCCGAGTAAAGCGGTGTGAGAGAGTTACCAAGTAAAGAGGTGTGAGAGAGTTACCGTGTAAAGCGGTGAAAAGCAGTAGGAGAGTTACCGTGTAAAGCGGTGAAAAGAAGTATGAGAGTTACCGTGAAAAAGCGGTGAAAAGCAGTATGAGAGTTACCGTGTAAAGCGGTGAAAAGCAGTATGAGAGTTACTGTGTAAAGCGGTGAAAAGCAGTATGAGAGTTACTGTGTAAAGCAGTGAAAAGCAGTATGAGAGTTACCGCGTAAAGCAGTGAAAAGCAGTATGAGAGTTACTGTGTAAAGCAGTGTGAGTTGTCATGTAAAGCGGTGTGAGAGAGTTACAGAGTAAAGCAGTGTGAGAGAGTTACCGAGTAAAGCGGTGTGAGAGAGTTACCACGTAAAACGGTGTGATTTACCACGTAAAGCGGTGTGAGAGTTAGCGTGTAAAGCGGTGTGAGTTACCGTGTAAAGCGGTGTGAGAGTTACCGTGTAAAGAGGTGTGAGAGAGTTACCCTGTAAAGCAGTGTGAGAGTTACGGTGTAAAGCGGTGTGAGAGAGTTACCGTGTAAAGCGGTGTGAGAGAGTTACCGAGTAAAGCGGTGTGAGAGAGTTACCGAGTAAAGCGGTGTGAGAGAGTTACCGAGTAAAGAGGTGTGAGAGAGTTACCGAGTAAAGCGGTGTGAGAGAGTTACAGAGTAAAGCGGTGTGAGAGAGTTACCGTGTAAAGCGGTGTGAGAGAGTTACCGCGTAAATGGGTGTGAGAGTTAGTGTGTAAAGCGGTGTGAGTTACCGTGTAAAGCAGTGTGAGAGTTACTGTGTAAAGAGGTGTGAGAGAGTTACCCTGTAAAGCAGTGTGAGAGTTACCGTGTAAAGCGGTGTGAGAGAGTTACCGTGTAAAGCGGTGTGAGAGAGTTACCGTGTAAAGCGGTGTGAGTTACCGTGTAAAGCGGTGTGAGAGAGTAACCGTATAAAGCAGTGTGAGAGAGTAACCGTGTAAAGCGGTGTGAGAGTTACCGTGTAAAGCGGTGTGAGAGTTACTGTGTAAAGGGGTGTGAGAATTACCAAATCCAAGTGATTATCAGTTCCAGGGTTGGCCAAACCCAGTTTAGTAGATAAAATAAATTAGGTCCAGACACTCAGGAATTGCTGCAGGAAGGCAGGTTTATTGGAACAAAAAGTGCAATGTTTCATCCTCAGCTTGATCAAGGCCTCTGTGTAGGCCCAAACGTTGCACTTTTTTGTTTTGAATATATTTATTAGTATCGCAAAAAAGTATAGGCAGACATTTTCCGAATTGATAAAAATAACGTATATGGTTGCCTGCACAGAGGCGTTTAAGTCAGAATAAACAAGCAAGGAAGTAAATTGGGTACATATAGACACTGTGAGATTTGATATATCAAGGGTATTCGACAGGTATAGTATCGCATTGTGCAGGCTTTATATTTATCTAAACAATACCTAAACTTATGAGACTCATATTGCATAGGGGTTATATCGGCCTGGTAGTCTGGGTCAACGTTGCACTTTTTACCCCAATAAACCTGCTGTCCTGCAGCAATCCTGAGTGCCTAGACCTCATTTATTTTATCTATTTAAGCTGATTGGACAGCCTCGGGGTCAGTTACACATATGGGCACTACTAGAACAGAAGTACAATATGGCTGGAAAAGGATTGGAAATACAAAGAGAATGTAAATATGAAAATGGAAAAACGTGTGCATTCAAAATAGTGGAAATTGATATTAAAGGAGATAAATGTAGGGCGGAAACATTGAAGGTTTGTGTGATGCTGTAATCCACCATTTTCCGCTATTTAGTAGCATTCGTGTATTTCACAGAAATAGGTCACTTTCTGCCATGAAACAATTATTCTCTCCCGTGGGCCATAATCCTTATCTGTAATATGGGACATTAGGATATTAAGATGGAAGGGTTAATACAGGGCAGTCATGTCCTTGCTGACTTGCTAACTGCCCAAACCAGAAAATCCCGTTTGGCAATACAACTATTTCAGGAAAATCTTCCAAGGCAAGCTGCTGCTATGACCACTGCAGCTGGATCTAACGGCGAATTAGATAAAAGACCTTGGCACGGTTTACTTCCAGAGATAACCATTAGTGTTGTGTTTTAGACAATTCTTGCAGTATCTATGCAATGTGATCTCCGTCCTCTAAACGGTTAATCAGTAACTGTGAAGTATTAACACTGCATGAGAGTAATTCTGCCCATCACACCACCTGGTATGTTACTAGCCCTTCACACCACCTGGTATGTTACTAGCCCATCACACCACCTGTATGTTACTAGCCCATCACACCACCTGGTATGTTACTAGCCCATCACACCACCTGTCTGTTACTAGCCCATCACACCCCCTGGTATGTTACTAGCCCATCACACCACCTGGTATGTTACTAGCCCATCACACCACCTGGTATGTTACTAGCCCATCACACCACCTGTCTGTTACTAGCCCATCACACCCCCTGGTATGTTACTAGCCCATCACACCACCTGTATGTTATTAGCCCATCACACCCCCTGGTATGTTACTAGCCCATCACACCACCTGTACTAGCCCATCACACCACCTGGTATGTTACTAGCCCATCACACCACCTGGTATGTTACTAGCCCATCACACCACCTGGTATGTTACTAGTGTATGTTACTAGCCCATCACACCCCAGGTATGTTACTAGCCCATCACCCACCTGGTATGTTACTAGCCCATTATTCCATGTGTATGTTACTAGCCCATCACTCCTCCTGGTATGTTACGAGCCCATCACACCACCTGGTATGTTACTAGCCCATCACTCCATGTATGTTACACATCACACCTGGTATGTTACTAGCCCATCACACCACCTGTATGTTACTAGCCCATTATTCCATGTGTATGTTACTAGCCCATTATTCCATGTGTATGTTACTAGCCCATCACTCCACCTGGTATGTTACTAGCCCATCACTCCACCTGTATGTTACTAGCCCATCACTCCACCTGGTATGCTAGCCCATCACTCCACCTGGTATGTTACTAGCCCATCACTCCACCTGGTATGTTACTAGCCCATCACTCCACCTGGTATGTTACTAACCCATTATTCCATGTGTATGTTACTAGCCCATCACACCACCAGGTGTGTTACTAGCCCATCACACCACCTGTATGTTACTAGTCCATCACTCCACCTGGTATGGTACTAGCCCATCACTCCACCTGGTATGTTACTAGCCCATCACTCCACCTGGTATGTTACTAACCCATTATTCCATGTGTATGTTACTAGCCCATCACACCACCAGGTGTGTTACTAGCCCATCACACCACCTGTATGTTACTAGCCCATCACTCCACCTGGTATGGTACTAGCCCATCACTCCACCTGGTATGTTACTAGCCCATCACTCCACCTGGTATGTTACTAACCTATTATTCCATGTGTATGTTACTAGCCCATCACTCCACCTGGTATGTTATTAGCCCATCACTCCACCTGGTGTGTTACTAGCCCATCACACCACCTGGTATGTTACTAGCCCATCACACCACCTGTATGTTACTAGCCCATCACTCCACCTGTATGTTACTAGCCCATCACACCACCTGTATGTTACTAACCCATTATTCCATGTGTATGTTACTAGCCCATCACACCCCCTGTATGATACGAGCCCATCACTCCACCTGTATGTTACTAGCCCATCACTCCACCTGTATGTTACTAGCCCATCATACTACCTGTATGTTTCTAGCCCATCATCCCACCTGTATGTTACTAACCCATTATTCCACGTGTATGTTACTAGCCCATCACTCCACCTGGTATGTTACTAGCCCATCATGCCACCTGGTATGTTACTAGCCCATCATTCCACCTGGTATGTTACAAGCCCATCACTCCACCTGGTATGTTACTAGCCCATCACACCACCTGTATGTTGTTAGCCCATCACACCACCTGTCTGTTACTAGCCCATCACACCACCTGTATGTTCTAGCCCATCACACCACCTGTATGTTCTAGCCCATCATACCACCTGTATGTTCTAGCCCATCATACCACCTGGTATGTTACTAGCCCATCACACCACCTTGTATGTCAGTCTCCTCTGATTCCATCCATTTAGCCTTTGATCCCTTCCTCCCAAGGGGCTTGCACTCACCTCCACGTAGTTCAGATTAACACGGCACTTGGATGCCATGTCTAGAAAGTGCTGAGAGTTCATTTCATCCAGGATGATGTAAACAGGAACGCGTCGGCTGGCAGCATCCAATAGTTCACTCAGAATGTCCACATCTGTAAAGATGTCCATGACGATGGCAATGACCTCACGTGGAAAGAAAGTAACATATTATCACGGAGAGAAAAACATGCATCTGTTTATTACAGACTGTACACAATGCAGACAGCCTACATTTACTTAACAAAACGAACTCCCTGCTTAATAACACAGGGCCTTTATTGACATCATTACAATAGGTGCCTTTACATGTTTTTTATAAGACGCTGGTGCCAGTAAATAGCTACAGAGGTTTATTCAATTACAATTAGAAATATTTTAGAGAGTTTTATTGTATTTGGACAGAGAGATGACAAAAAAAATGTCCTGGCTCCTTCAGCTCTCAGTACTCAGCATGTGCATGTCAGACGATTACTAAGAGATGCCAGTAGTATGGTTTACTGGAGGACACACCAGGACGATGGCAGGAAGAGAAAGGAGGATGCCAAGGAGAGGAAAAAGGATAACAGGAAAAGGCAGGTAGATAACAGGAAGCACAAGGAGAAGCAGTTTTGGTGTACAAATTGTGTCCCTGCAGTCTCACTGCTCAATTCTCTGCCATTTAGGAGTTTAATCACTTTATTTATAAGCCCTAGTCACACCTCTCTGCATGTGACTTCCTAAACACTTCCTGTAAAGAGTCATCTAAAGTTTATCTTTCCTTTATTGCAAGTTTATTGTGGTTTCATTTCAATTTTCTTATCCCCTGCTATGTTAATAGCTTGCTAGACCCTGCAAGAGCCTCCTGTGATTAAAGTTCAATTTACAGAGCAAGAGATATACTTGTTTAAGGTAAATTACTTCTGATTGAAAGTGAAACTAGTTTTTTTTCATGCAGGCTGGGTCAATCAGAGCCGGGGAGGTGTGGCTAGGGCTGCATAAACAGAAACAAAGTGATTTAACTCCTAATTGGCAGCGAATTGACCAATGAAACTTGAGAAGCATGATCTATACACTAAAACCGCTTCATTAAGCTAAAGTTGTATAGGTGACTATAGTGTTCCTTTAAGAAATGCTTTGACACTATAAATAGAGAAGATCACTCAGTGTTGATTTGAAGGTAAGAAGGAGCAAATCAAGTAAATTTATTTTTTAGAAAGGAGAATTAGCCCCACTGGAATACTATCAATGTTGTTATTTTGTCCTAAAATTAGGAATTTCCATGTTAATTCCCAAATGGGACAAAGGAGAGAAACATCCCTGTGAATATTTGGGGCCCCTGCTGTAAATATCCTGCTGTGAAGGTGTCCAAGGGATCCCATAGCACATGACGCTGGACTTACAACACAATATGTGATAATAGTGTGATTACTGTGGACGTTCTTTATTTTATAATGTTGATTTTTGACAATTTATATTGAAACAATACTCCTGGTTGTAATTTAAAGTATATCCATTATTAAAGACTTGTCATATTTTAGTGTGTCCTCTGATAAGAGTTTTGTAACTATTTATTAAGATAGGCAGACTCACTATCACTGTAAGGATACAGGAAGCAGTGGTACTTACTGACCAGATCATAAAACCTACCTCAAGCAAACAGCCTTTTATTTCCTCTTATTCAGAATATCAGAGGGTCTTTGTGTACCCCATCATCTCCTTATGTAATGTGACTGCTTGTTGGCACTGTTTGGGCTATTCGCAAACACAGTTTATAATGAACTGTTTCCAAATCCTGTAGGTTCCAACTCAAAAACATCGCCCACATCCGCCCCTTCCTTACACAAGATGCTACCAAGGAGCTGGTCCATGCTCTAGTAATTTCCTGCATGGATTACTGTAACCCTCTCTTGATTGGTCTCCCCAAAAGCCGTATTTACCTGCTACAGTCTGTAATGAATGCTTCAACCTATTGTTCCTGTAAGTTTTCTTGTAATTGTCCTATTTATAGTTACATCCCCCCTCTCATAATACTGTAAAGCGCTACGGACTCTGTTGGCGCTATATAAATGGCAATAATAATAATAATAACTGAAACTGAACTGCAAACTTCAGACAAAAAATATCTAAACTGTGAGTACAGGGTTAAAACTTCTTTACAATTGTCCTAAACATTGCAGTTTTGGTTTCAATTCACTACAGTTTGGTATTAAGTAAATAAATCTTCCTCGAATAACTTTACCCCTGATTTCTGTCTGTAATCAGTTAACTAGTGTTTTAACATCCAGGTTTATAGATGGTTTACTTTTCTAGTGTCCTACATTCATGATTAAAGAATTAAAAAAAACATTTTTATTTCCATTTTTTGGTGATTTTATTTAAACCTACCTGCTGTGCAGATCTGATCATCCTACGGACTTCATCTTTTATTGTGGGATTATCAGAGGGGGCAGGATGAATCAAGGTTGTCACCTCGGTCCCCTGAAAGCCGTAAATGGTGGGCCAGCCAAGATCCAGCTCTGGGGCCGCAGTGTCAGAGTGCATTGGCCAGTAAGTCCCTGACGAGCCATCGGCTTCCTCCTCAGTATAGACAGTATCTGCGTACAGGCTTTCTTGGGTGGGCTCTGGTGGTCTCTGAAGATTGTTGGTGATATGATCAATCTCAGAATGGCATAAGAAGTCCGGAGCACCTTCATCAACGAGAAATCTCTCATAGCCATCGGGTCCGTCCTCTGTTAGTACATCAATGGCAATGCGGTAATACTCCTTATAATGTGGGGGGAGGTAGTTGGGGTCCAAGGGATTGTCCCCCTGCGAGGAGCTCTGAGATCGGTGTGCCATGGGTCTACACCAGAGGGAGGGTACAGACGGGACCTATAAAAAAGGAGTAGAAATCACTGATAATTAGGACCATGCACATTTACAGTTAGTATGTGCCATACGCTGCTCAGATCACATATGCTACGTTTACAGTAACAAAGAACGAATTTACTGCTTTGTTTTAATTCACTGACAACAGTAATTCCAGCCCAGACTATGTGGGATACTTGGACTACGTCCCACGCCTCCTCACCCCTCCCTCAAAGTGTCCTAAAACCAATGGTCACACAAATAATTCACTCACCACCAGCCATTGGCGAGTCTTGCGAGTAGAAATTCAAGCTTGGAGGGTATAATTGCAGTGGCTAGTCACTTTTAAGACCTGTCTACTAGCCTAAGACTGCAAAATGTAAGCCCTGTGTGTGTGTATGTGTAGATATCTATTTAGGTATGTGTAGTCAATGCTTTGGTAAACACAGATTTGCACACCAATCAAGCCTTAAGACTTGTTTTTCCCACAGAAATCTCAAAATTTGCAGTAATGTTACAACTGCAAGGGATTCTGGGTGGGTATATGCAAATTAGTTCAACAAAGAATCCCATTTTTGCCTCATTCCATTTTAAACATGGATTGCTTTGAGTCTGTGTTTGCTGTATACAACAGCTTGAAACCACTCATGGGCAGTCGTTTCATTGTTAATGCATAACTTTCTTGGTTTTTGCTTTGCAAGTACTGCCTGTGATGGACCACCGTCACGGAGTACCATGCCCACATGTGCCCCTTTCTTGCCTGCTTATTGTTTTCAGGTCATCATGCTGGAGGTTCCCCCTATCTGTGTGGTCCCCTTATTCATAACTCATGTTTAGGCTGATTAGAAGATTGTGCTTGTCCCATTGTAAATGTAACAGAAATGAGGCTTGGTTATTGATCTGTGGGTATTGTATTAAAAGCTAATGAATATTCATATCAAGGGAGTAATTATCTAAAAGGGAATCAAGACATATGGCAGATGTGAGAGTTGGTTTGTACAGAAATCAGACTTCCAGGCCACTCATGTGGGACTTCTCACACCTTGCAGAGCAGCTCTGTGGGGGGTCCCAGCTTCAAAGAGGAATTTGGGTTGGAAACCCCTTGCATGGAGCTTTTGCATAAAAGGATTTCTCTGTACCAGAGAGGGGACTGAATGTCCTCTCAGGCACAGAGGATCATGTCCGGGATTGCCCTAGGGGGTTGGGTTGGAAACCCCTTGCATAGGGCCTGTGCATAAAAGCCATGTGTAACCCAATAAACAGTTCAGTGCAGTTGTACTCCCAGAACTGTATGTTGTCCAGTTACTGGGGGAAAGGGTTGCCTGCTTGTTTTAAGGGTTCCAGAGTGGCTGAAGAAAGGTAATAGCAGAGGTAACCGGCCAGGTTACCCGTAGTCCGCTACACTGCCAAGCCTCACGAGCAAACCAGTAACCAACCTCATGCTGATGAGTTGCATTAACAACGAAACAGCTGCCCATGAGTGGTTCACTGGGTTTGCTCCTCTTCCGGAGTTGTATTTCCAAGCTGTTGTATACAGCAGACACCAACTCAAAAGAATCCATGTTTAAAATGGAATAAAGAGGCAAAAATTGGATTCTTTGTTGAACTAATTTGCATATGCCCACCCAGAATCCTTTGCAGTAGTAACATTACTGCAAATTGGAGATTTCTATGGGAAAAGCAAGCTTGAATGGTGTGCAAATTTGTGTTCAACAAAGTATTGACTATCCACTGACTTCAGGTGGAAGGGGTTTCCAATCACAATTTTGCCCCACCATAACTTTCTTGGTTTTGCTTCGTAGGTATGTGTATATATTTATAGATTACTATGGTTCCATATTACTATGTACAATAGAGGTCCCTGCATTGCAGAGCTTACAATCTAACAGGAAGTATTTAGTCTGCTCTGAATTCACAGATTATTACTTGGGGAGTGACCTGTGACACTGGATGTATTTATAAAAGGAATGTAAAACTCCAGAATGACATAGCAGGCTGCATACTGACACATACCGGTTACTAAAACACATAATATATAGTGAGGGCTCCACCCGTAAACCTGCTAAACAAACCAATAATGTTCTCATTATATGCATATAATGCACAAGGACAAACCTTGCATCCACCCAGCTTCTCCCACGAGTGTGTTCATTGTAAAGACTGACTAAGTAAGCAGTTCCATAAAATGGAAGGAGCAGGAGCGAAGGAGTGAAACTGCATGCAAAGCCACGTTTCAAGCAAGTTCTCATCCCTCCATCGGTAAAGGAAACACCTTAAAAATTATATTAGCGTTTAACAGCATGGAGCACATACATACACACACACAGACACACACAGACACACACAGACAAGGCTTCCTTGGTGCAGTGAAAACAGAGGTTACATAAATTTAGATAATTGTGAGGGCTGTGGGTACGCCGGATAAGAGAGATGAGGAAGGTCACTCTAAATAGGTCTAGATTCTGGGTTCCTGAGAAGTAAATAGGGTTTTATTAAACAGACCCGAAAATCACACCAATATTTTCTTATGGCTCTGGCTGTAACATGCAGGGAACCCTGGCAAACACTGTGGTATTAAAGGGAACCCAGACAGAAATGATCTCCCTGATTTTACAGGTAAAATTGCCGTCAGTGATACACGTTTCAGATACCGACTCTCACCACCAGCACTGTCCAGGATGCCACCCTCTAACTGCAAGGCAGCCACACATCTGCTTTTTAAAGAAATCTGAATACCGCCAATGAGGGAGATCAGAAAATGAGGATCACTGATATAAGTTCCAATCAATGGAGGCTCTGGACAAGACAAATTAGCTGGATCTCCCTCACACTGAAAAAACCTCGCCATCAGCCCAATTATATGAAACAGGACACCCCTTTCAGTGGTAAGGATTGAGAAAGGGAGCTCTTTCCTCTTCCAATCTTCCAAATGTCTTGAAAGAACAAGAGAGTGGTGTGCCAGACATTACTGTGCACGGTCAGTAACTGGCTGCTAGGACACAGAATCATATAGCTCTCTCTGCCAATCTCAATATAAAACACATCAGATTCCTGACTGTAAAACCACATGAAAGTATTTAGGGGTTGGACACCCAGAGATTTCAGTCCAAGCACCACTTCATTGCAGCACTTACAATCCCTATTTAGGCGCTAATCTCTCTGTCCCTCTTTTCTAGAATCTCCGTATTGTTGGTGTGTCTGAGTGTATAACAGAGCTCCAAAGTAATAATACTCCCAGTAATGTGTCTGAGTGTATAACAGAGCTCCAAAGTAATAATACTCCCAGTAATGTGTCTGAGTCTATAACAGAGCTCCACAACAATAATACTCCCAGTAATGTGTCTGAGTGTATAACAGAGCTCCACATTAATAATACTCCCAGTATTATTCCAGTAATAACATATAGAAATCCCGTAAACATCCAGGGAACCCATTATAACATATAGAAATCCCATAAACATACAGGGAACCTATTATAACATATAGAAATCCCATAAACATACAGGGAGCCTATTATAACATATAGAAATCCCATAAACATACAGGGAACCTATTATAACATATAGAAATCCCATAAACATACAGGGAACCCATTATAACATATAGAAATCCCATAAACATACAGGAACCCATTATAACATATAGAAATCCCATAAACATACAGGAACCCATTATAACATATAGAAATCCCATAAACATACAGGAACCCATTATAACATATAGAAATCCCATAAACATACAGGAACCCATTATAACATATAGAAATCCCATAAACATACAGGAACCCATTATAACATATAGAAATCCCATAAACATACAGGGAACCCATTATAACATATAGAATCCCATAAACATACAGGAACCTATTATAACATATAGAAATCCCATAAACATACAGGGAACCCATTATAACATATAGAAATCCCATAAACATACAGGGAGCCCATTATAACATATAGAAATCCCATAAACATACAGGGAACCCATTATAACATATAGAAATCCCATAAACATACAGGAACCCATTATAACATATAGAAATCCCATAAACATACAGAAACCCATTATAACATATAGAAATCCCATAAACATACAGGGAGCCTATTATAACATATAGAAATCCCATAAACATACAGGAACCCATTATAACATATAGAAATCCCATAAACATACAGGGAACCCATTATAACATATAGAAATCCCATAAACATACAGGGAGCCTATTATAACATATAGCAATCCCATAAACATACAGGAACCTATTATAACATATAGAAATCCCATAAACATACAGGGAACCTATTATAACATATAGAAATCCCATAAACATACAGGGAGCCTATTATAACATATAGAAATCCCATAAACATACAGGGAACCTATTATAACATATAGAAATCCCATAAACATACAGGGAACCCATTATAACATATAGAAATCCCATAAACATACAGGAACCCATTATAACATATAGCAATCCCATAAACATACAGGGAACCCATTATAACATATAGAAATCCCATAAACATACAGGAACCCATTATAACATATAGAAATCC